TGCCCGCAATCTGGGCCTTGGTGACACGCGCCTTTTAACGGTAGCACTTTCAAGATGTCCTTCTGTAACAGACAGCTGATCTGATTTTATTATCTACAGCTACTGCAAGGTTTATGTAAAGCATAAGCTTATGATAAAGTGCACACTGCTACACGCTGGGTGTAATTATGTTGTCAAAAATAAGGATTAAATATAGTTTATGCATTGAGAGTGTGAAGTGACATGAGACAAATTCGTTTATAATTAATCATGTTAAAAGTAGCACCTTTCTGTCAAGAAAATCAGACAATACCAAAAATCTCAGGAAAAAACAGACTAATAAAAGGATTTTATTGTGTACATTTCAGTGTAGCATCCTTTCAAATATATCCTTAAAATAATCCTGATTAACTCGCAGATGGGCAGTAGCAGAGATACATTAAATCACTTTTTCCAGGGAAGCTGTGAAATGTGACAATTTTCCTGCGCTTAATGCAATTTTAAGACAAGCTGTCTGGCAAGTAATTACTTGGCCAAGTTTATAAATGTGCTAATGGATTTTAACGTCGCTACAATGACATCGCCGCCCCCCCCCCCCCGCTCAGCCGCAGGGCTGCTTGGCCGTTACCAGGCAACAGAGTCACGCACCTCAGACGGCTGTTTATCTAATTATTCCCGCAAAATAAGGAATGTCCAACTTTCATAAAGAGGATGACAGTGGCGACCTGGACCATGTACAGTGGGTGAGGCAGAGGGTACTCCGGCCGGCCGGTCGGTCTCAGTGGACGCAGTGAGACGGAACAGCTGGTGCCTGATGACATTATTCATCGAGGCTAAACGGTTTAAAGCTGTTTAAAGGCATCATCATGACAAGAGAGCCCTTCTGACATCACGCGCCATTAACTCCCACCCGGAGAATAATTCTCTCGTGTGCGGCCCGCAGACCCAGCATGCGGCTTGTGGTCCATGAAGATGACTAACGAGGACGCGCGTGATTAAGTGTGTCAGTCCTGTGGATAACACAATCCCTTACAGACACGACAGGTATCAACGGTGATTGTGATGAAGTATACGTGTATAGCTTTTCTCCGTTATATAATTTGTGACCCTGCCTCCTCTATGATAAACAAAAACACAGGACTTATCGTTAAAACGTCCTTTAACTACATATATCAATGATAATGACGACGACATGACAACTGTTTAAAATTCTTTAAAACATGTTTGAAAGACTGATCAGTCTGATTACAACTGAGACTCTTTTCAAACCAGCCACAAATGGAGTGTCCTACTCACAAGGTCACTCTCTCATATCACCAGAAATGTTCCCGGCGTCTCCGTGTCTTTTGCCCCCATTAATTCCTGCAACATCTTGCCTGGTGTTTCTTTGAGGCTGGTTTCATTACCAGCTAACACCTCAGAAACGTGCAGAAACGGCAGATGATGATCAGCACTCAGAGAGACATTTCAGGCTCCCTGAGGCCCTGAGGATAAACCTGATTGGCACTCAAAGAGACATTTCAGGCTCCCAGAGGCTCCGGGATGCTGCGGATGAACCTGTGGCACTCAAAGAGACATTTCAGGCTCCCAGAGGCTCTGAGGTCCTGAGAATGGACCTAATTTGGCACTCAGAGAGATGTGCATTTCAGGTTCCCAGTTAAAGCATTACTTAAAGACCTTACGGAAACGATATATCATACTGCGTAGATGAGAAGGCTGTGAAATCCATTTATAAAGGAGAACATCCAAATGTTTTCAGAAAAAACAAGTTGCATCAGAAGCCTGACACCATCTGTGATGCTCTGTGTGAAATGAAAGCAGGAAGATCCTCTATTTCTCTCTCCTCACCTCAGGATGATCTTTCCCCTTGTGGGATCCAATAACTACACAAAGAGCCCTAAAACCAAATTTCTGGATTTAACATATATTAACCTTATTAGACACGAATCTATTGGTCCGGATGATATTTCACTGTGAAACTCCCTGCTCTCTGCATAAGCCGCTACTTTCCTCATACTTCCAAACTTACAAACTCTCACTCTGCAGTGCCCTGTAGGAGGTTTAACAGCTGATGTGTCCTGAGACCTTCCTGAAAAAAGGTCAGTGGAAAAAAAAGAGAGAGCATAAAACCAGGCATTTCCTGGTGGGTTTAAAATAAATCTTAAGGAAACGGCTGTCACTCAGGATTCCAAGTCTTATATAAAAAAGGTTTAAAGGTTTACTTGCTAAAATTAAGGGCATTAGTTTGAATTAAATTATAATTCTACACTGTATTTTTCAGTCACCAAAGCAAGAGTAATTAACAGTGCACAGCAGCCGTGTGAAATGGTGATATGACTCATACAGAAAGGTTACAGGGAAAGTTCAGCTGAAGATGGAGATGGTCCATCAGACCGCGGAGAGAGAGTGAAGACAGGGGTTTCTGAAAGCTGTGAGGCTGGGGGGGTGTTTTGGGCTTTAATCTTCTGTGGAGCGTGCAGACGGGGGCAGCAATTGGCAGTCTGGCCACATCAGCACCACAGCTCATTTCATAAGATGAGCCTCAGAATACACTGCATCATAAACAGCCCCCACCCCCCTCCGTGTTGCTACATGGGCACCCCCCCCAAACTGATGCCGTGCTCGAAACTGTGGTCTGCTTAGAACAAGCCGCATCGCCGCGATCCACAACCCGGCACAGGGCATCTCCGTCAGCTGTGATGGAATCTGGACTTTAATTACTAAACACCAGTACTGAAACACAGGTACCATTTCAGTTATTTTACACATGTATCCAGTGAAAATGGGCTCATGAAACCCCCCAGGACAAAATGAAACAAACTCTGAAAGTCAAACTGAAATTATCCTGGAATAATGTCACAACCATGCTGGAATCGAGTCACAGTTCCTGAGCTCAACAAGTAAACACTCCCATCCAAATTAATTTCCCCAGCATCTCAACATGGAGCAGAACATATGGGTGAGTCAGCAAATGAAGGAGCTTATTTCTGCTGCCGATATCTGTCTGCATACATTTGATTTGCAAGGCAAATTCGGAACAAACGTGCTGCACGTGACAGACTC